TGGACCAATATGTTGTCGGTCCTCAATGTGCTGCCAAAATAGCTCCAACCTTCCACAAGATACACTCTACAACAGGGCTGTAATGTAATGTGTATTTATATACACCCAAAGTGCTTCAAGATTATTAGGGTGGAAGACAGGGGGGTCTCTACACACCATAACTAGTGTACAGAATCCACTTGGATGATACAAAGGCATCCACGGGACAATGACGCCAGAGCACTCCTCACACACCAGCTAAAGGGGGAGTAGAGAGGCAGTGATAGAGCCTGTTTGGTGGATGGGGATGATGGGTAAGGGCCAATGGTGGAAATTTACCCAGGACACCGTGATTACACCCCTACTTCAGAAGTGCCATGGGATTTTTATTGACCACAAAGAGTCAGGACCTTGGTTTAATGACACAAAAGACAGCACCTACTGACAGTATAGTGTCCTCTTCACTTCACTGGGGTATTAGGACTGACACAGACTGCAGGTTGAAGGCCCCCTGCTGGCCTCACTAACACCACTTCCATCAGGACCCTGGTGTTCCCATGTGGTCTCCCATCCAGGTACTGACCAGGCTCAGCCCTGCTTAGCTTCAGTGAGTAACCGGTCTTGGGCTGCAGGGTGATATGACTGTAGCTGCTCAATCCTGTTCCCGGAGATCTACCTTCCTGTTTTCAGCTCCAACCCTTACCAAACATACCTGAACCAACTAATTAGGATCTGAACAGCACTTCAAAACTACAGGCAGGTGTGTTTGATATGGGTTGCAACTGAAATCTGCTAGAAGGTAGATCTCCAGAACAGGGTTGAGCACCCCTGCTCTACAAGACCCCTAAATGTCTCCAACGGTATCGGGCACCAAGACCTCAGTCTTGCAGGTTACACCATGAAGCCAACATGAACTAAACTTGTAGGAAATACAGGACATCCCACCAATGTCTAGTTGACTTGAAAACTAGAATTTGAAGAAGATTTCTCAAAAAAAGCGAGCAGTGTGATGTAGTGAATTATCATACTAAAAGGGGACCATTTGACTAGGGAACACCACTGTCATAAAGGTGTGTACCTGGTCAGCAATAATATCTGAAGGATGAAGGATGTGCAAAATCCACATCCACATCAGTGGGTGGACCTAGGGTGTCCAGGTACAACTGCTCGAAGGTGCCAAGGCATAGAGTCTCTAAAGATGTCCTACAGTACCTGGCACTAAGACCTCAGCTGCATATCCCTTAAGGCCACTAGGTTGGCTGATGAAGATGTGGGTTGAACTGGCTGATTCAGGACATCCTGGCAAGACTGGGAAAGCGGAGACCAGTACCACAGCCATATCACCCTGCAGCCCAAAACTGGTTACTCAGTGAAGCTAAGCAGGGCTGAGTCTGATTAGTACCTAGACGGAAGACCACATGGGAAAACTAGGTTCCTGTTGGAAATGGTCGCTCAACCTGCGGCCTGTGTGAGTCCTAATGCTCCAGTATAGTGACGTGGACACTATACTGTCAGTGAGCAGGTTAAACCGAAGTCCTGACTTTCTGTGGTAATTATAAATCCCATGGCACTTCTTGTAAAAGAGTAGGGGTGTAATTCTGGCCAAATTTCCTCCATCGGCCCTTACTTATAATGGCCTCCCAATCGCCTCCATCCACCAATTTGGCTCTATCACTGTCTCTCCACTCCTCCTATAGTTGGTGCCCTTGTCCTGTGGCTGTAGTCACATCATCCAAGTGGTTTCCTCATGACTGTGAAGTGCTTTAGGTGTATGGCCATACACAATAAATGTGTACTTGCTTACAACACCTTGAACTCAGATTCTTTAGACTATTCCTCAACAAAGTGTGCACTGTTCTGCTAAAAGATTTCCCTTCCACTGCGAACATCGTCATGAAGAGGTATACCTGGTCTGCAAGAGGCAAGAAGGAAGTGCCAAATTTACATCCCTGAATGGGTGGGCCCAAGGTTTCCCAGCAGAACATTGCCCAGAGCACCTCTCTCCATCCACGGACTTGAGGTCATCCCACAGTGCACCTTGCTGCCATGACTTACCCAGCTAAATAGCACAAATGATATCAGGACTCCCTTGACCACCCAAACTACTTCCACTGGTCCAAGGTATGATTTCAATCCTTGCATTCCTATTGTAGGCGCTTTCGTTGGCAGACAGGGGTCTCCGTAGTCTTTCTGAAGTACTCAGCAGAGCGTAATTAACATTCAGTGATTTTGTGCCACTTGTGCTACAGTCGACCTTCTGCTGGCCTAGGCCAGATGTGACTGGGAGCAACCAACAAGGCTTGCTGCTTCAGAGATAACCTGACCCATTTGCCTTGAATAGCAATATGGCCCTGGTCAAAGATCTTTAATCCAGCATACAACATGCAGATTACAGGAACTGTAGGGCTGATAGTCTATTCTAAAAAGAAACACTTCAGACTCAAGAGTAGATTCCAAAGGTACTACGTGCATTTTGAACTGAACAAAGGCTAATGTTATTTAGCTCTGCTTGCTAATAATGGCAGGCTGCTGTGTTTCTGCAAACAGGTTCTTTCTGGACAATGTCTGCAGTCACTGTTTCATTTTGTGTCCTGCATGTCAAATCCTGCAACTAAAAATAGCCCCTTTCACACAATAAGGGCTCATTCACACTGAAGGTGTCTTTGTTTCTAAAAAAACAAAATGGAGCATTTAGGAATGGTTGGAGAAACAGTGCAACATAAAGGAGGGCCACTGAGCGCCTGCAAACAGAAATCTGCAACGGTTGCCCCAGAATGGCTTTACCGGTAAATTCACAAATGTTTTGTCTCAAAATCGAATTCCCCGGTTGGCAAATTGCATTCCCCTCCACATGCATGTGCATCACACAGCTGTGCACAGTGCATCTCATCAATCATTTATTCAAAGTTGGTGCAGTAACCCTGCAGAAAAATAAAGCTTAAACCAGCCTAGGCTGGTTTAAGCTGGATTTTTCAGTAGGGAAGTAGAAACACAGAAGTTCTGTTTGATTGTCAAGCAGCAGCTAAAAGTGCCTGGTAGGACTCAAAGACTCTTATTTCCTTTATTAACATAGAGTGAAGCATTAGCATGTTCCGATTGGCCCACAGCAGACCTTTCATGTCATGCGTACTGAACTTCAATCTACCGATGATAGAACTTCTTATTCTGGAGAATTGACAGAACAAATATTCATGAATTTTTATACACATGATTGGCTCTTTATGGCAATTTACTGGTCAACTTCTGGAGGAGTCTCAATGCGTAAGAGATGTCTTATTATCACGGTTGAGTTTGGCATCTAATGTATTAAGTATAGACTTTCATATGAATATAGATTTGCTCTGTCTAAAGTGTATTTACAAAACTGTGGCTGCGTCCGAAACCGCCTACTACTCAGTAGGTACTGCATTTGATTTTAAACGTACTACTCGGCCGTTAGAAAAGTACGTTTTATACAGTATGAATGTGAAAAGTATGAATGGAATTCGGACGTACTACATCCACCATTTTGACAGTCACGTGACCTACCTGCGTAATTTGCGTTGCTTTACTCCCATTCATGAATTTGCTCGCGGTGCATCATGGCATAGCACAGCATGCATGGGATGCGCACTCCAGAATCTCGCCGGAAGTAGTAAATCATCCGGGTACTTCTCGCATACTGTTTTTCGAAATCTATGAATTCGGACATACTTCTCGGCTCGCATACTGATTTTAGCATACTATATAGTATGGAAGTATGCGGTTTTGGACGCAGCCTGTATGATTTTATTTAGGATGGTGAAACTCGACCACAGAAGGTTTTAAAGACCGCTCCATATACAAGGCATTTAATTTTGTTTCAATTTTAATAAAATGCTTAAGCAAGGCACTAATACCCCAACTGCCTCCTTCCAATCCTCCGTCTAAACTCAGTTACATGTCAACTTTAAAAGAAATGTATTCCTTCATTAAGGCACATCCCAGCAAGCACATAACGTTAATATTAGGTTAGATTTAGGTCGTGATGTCGGGTGACCAAAATTTAAGGTCTAGCCGGCGTCTAAAGACAACGTTATTTTGTTGTCCAATGACGTCATCAAATGATGTTGATATTTGGTTGTTTTTAGGTTGTGTTGATTAGTGACCAAAATCTAACGTCGAGCCAACATCTTAAACCAACGTCTGATAGACGTCGTAGTGGTACCGTCCACACAATGTCAAGCTGTGACATCATTAGACGTTGATGTTTGGTTGATTTTAGGTTATGTTGAAAAGTGACCAAAATCTAACGTCGAGCCAACATCTTAAACCAATGTCACATTGACGTCAAATACTGACATTTATTCATCAGGTATGGCAACCAAAATTCAACATCTGATAGACGTCATAGTGGTAACGTCCACACAACGTCAAGCTGTAACATTAGACGTTGATATTTGGTTGTTTTAAGGTTGTGTTGATTAGTGACCAAAATCTAACGTCGAGCCAACATCTTAAACCAACGTTAACATCACCTACGTATTGACGTCAAATACTGACATTTATTTGTCAAGTATGGAAACCAAAATCCAACATCTGATAGACGTTATAGTGGTAACGTCCACACAACGTCAAGCTGTAACATCATAAAACGTTGATATTTGGTTGATTTTAGGTTATGTTGAAAAGTGACCAAAATCTAACGTCGAGCCAACATCTTAAACCAACGTCACATTGACGTCAAATACTGACATTTATTCATCAGGTATGGCAACCAAAATTCAACATCTGATAGACGTCATAGTGGTAACGTCCACACAACGTCAAGCTATAACATTAGACGTTGATATTTGGTTGTTTTAAGGTTGTGTTGATTATTGACCAAAATCTAACATTGAGCCAACATCTTAAACCAACGTCAACGTCACCAACGTATTGACGTCAAATACTGACATTTATTTGTCAAGTATGGAAACCAAAATCCAACATCTGATAGACGTTATAGTGGTAACGTCCACACAACGTCAAGCTGTAACATCATAAAACGTTGATATTTGGTTGATTTTAGGTTGTGTTGATTAGTGACCAAAATCTAACGTCGAGCCAACATCTTAAACCAACGTTAACGTCACCTACGTATTGACACATACGTCGTAGTGGTAACGTCCCCACAACGTCAAGCTGTAACATGATAAGTCGTTGATATTAATGGTTGACATTAATTTGACGTCATGTTGACGCCCGTGCCTGCTGAGATGGTTAAGTGTGGTCGGTACCTTTGTGGGATGTAGAACATGTGTTCAGGAGAGGGTTTGTGCAGAAGTCCACCATACACAGGCCACAAGCCACTGAGGATTCGGAACAGAGAGCTCTTCCCACATCCGTTCGGCCCCGTGATCAGCAGATGCATCCCTTCCTCTACCTGTGGGCAAGATCCAGTTACAGGAGACAGAGCACAAGTCACATGCTTTAGCTCAGAATCAAATAGACATCACTTTAGTTTGAGCACACGTGAGGTGCAGCTGAAGACAGAAAGATTCGCCCTACTGTAGATTTTTTTTTTCCCAAATGATGATAGATAGTAATAATAATTTAAAAAATAATAATAAATAATAATAATTAATAATGATAACATAATAATAATAATAATACAATTCTAATAATAAAATAATAATTATAATAATTTTAATAATAAATAATAATAATAATACAATAATACTACTACTACTACTAATAAAAATAAAATTGTAATAATTTTTTTAAATCATTAATAATAATAATTAATAATAATGATAACATAATAATAATAATAATAATAATAATAATAATTACATAATAATAATTACATAATAATAATGATAATAATAGTCATTCATTTATTTATTTTCCTTTCAGCTCAGTCCCTTTAATAATAGCAATTTAATAATAATAATAATAATAATAAAATAATAATAAAATAATATTATTAATGTTAAAATAAAAAGAATAAGAAAAAACACAATAATAATAATAATAATAATAAAATAATATTAGAATAATAAAATAATATTAATAATGATAAAATAATTTGATAAGAGTAAAATAATAAAAATACAATACTAATAATACTACTAATGATAAAATAATAATAATTATACAATAATACAAATATTACTACTACTACTACTACTAATAATAATAATAAGAAGAAGAAGAAGAAGCAGATTAATAAAATAATAATAGTAATAAAATAAAATAAAAATAATAATAAAATAATACTATATTAATAATAATAATAACAACAACAACAACATAGAGATAATAAGAAATATTATTATGGGAAAGTATAGTACGTTTTTACCAAAACTAACATTGTACATTTATTTTTTAAATGTGTAATTAAATAACAACAATAATAATAATAATAATAATAATAATAAATAACCCCAGGGCAATTATAATTTTCACTAAATAAATAAATAAATAAATAAATGAATAAATAAAGTAAACAAACATTTAACAAATGATTCGAATGACAATATTTTTATTGTATATTTAAAAGAAACATTAGCAGGCTTTCATATAATTATCACAAATATGAACATTTTCTCACTTTTTTACCCACAAAAATTATTTTTTAAGTGGTCTCGTTTTGTCTATTTAAATTGTCTATTTTTTTTTTTGATTTTTCTATTTGTGTAATTGTCAATTTAAATTCTCAATCTTTCCCACTATATTTCACACCACTAGCTTTTACCCAAAATGATCTATAACATCTAAAGTAACCCTGCTGTCATATTAATAAACAACTCGCAGTGTTGTGTATAATCAGTTCAATTCTACAATAATGCAACAGTTTACTCTGCATCTCAGCAACCGGTGCACAATACCACAGAGCATTCCCTTCATGATCCTGCCCTGACTTGTTTAGGACACTTCATGCTTCTCAGCTGCATGTGCAAATAAATATCAAGTTATGATTTAATGAATGAATCACTGCACTCTTGAAATGCCAAACCAAGTTCTACATTCGCCTCGAAAGACTGTGTTTCAGTATATCCCACCTTGAAGTTCAAGCAGGACACGACCACGTCTCCATTAGGGGTGATTATAGGCACTTGTTCACAGACTATACCTTTATCCACATCAATCACTTTGCCTGTAGAACGAGAAGCAGAGAATGATAGACAATTAAACACAAAGTGCGTCAACAACATGAAAGCATGGATCCATCCTGCCTTGTATCAGCGCTTCAGGCTGGTGGTGGTGGTGTAATGGTGTGGGGGAGATTTTCTTTGGGTCCATTAGTACCAATTGAGCATCAACGCCACAGCCTACCTGAGTATTGCTGCTGACCATGTCCATCCCTTTATGAGCACAGTTTCTCCATCTACTGATGGCCACTTCCAGCAGGATAACACACCATGTCATAAAGCACCAATCATCTCATGTCAGAACATGACGATGAGTTCACTGTACTCAAATGGCCTCCACAGTCACCAGATCTCAATCCAATAGAGCAGCTTTGGGATGTGGTGGAACGATTGGCATCATGAATGTGCAGCTGCGTGATGCTATCAT